CTCTTAACTTAACAACAATATGGGCAGTTTGTGTAATTTACTATAAATAGCATACAAGTCCAAATTTAATACTCCGTAAAATTTTACTGGGGTGAGCCCTATTTTTTAACTAATATTTTCAAACTGTCTCACCTCAAGATAATTTTCCGAAAAAGTTTTTTGTTTTTAAAAGTCATTGAATAAGTTTGTCATATAGATTATAATTATAATTCTAAACCCACTATCTTCCACAGATAAATCGAAACAATTTTAACCAAAGCATCACCAAGAATAAACTCAAAAACTATATTTTCCATTCTATGTTTAGCACATAGAAAAGTGATATCATGGTATCCCATGAATTTATTCCTTTTTTTTTTTTTATAGAAAAAACTGACTACCACTAGTACTATAAAGCTGCTATGACTCTCCATCATGCTTTGAGATCTCCTTGTTCGGATAATCTAAAAAGAAAATCATAGTTTCTAGTAGGGTTCATTAAACCAAAATCATAAATTTTTTAAGGAAACTTGATTTTAATTTAAGCCCAGGAAGTACAATAGTAACGTAACTTTCAAAGAAACAATTATTTCCTTATAAATTTATAAATCCAGACTTTAATGTGCAAGATTGAATATCTCATTTAAATTTATTAAATAACAACCAATCCTAAGCATGTGACATGAAAACCGGAAAGAAAGCCTTTTCGTTGGAGGCATCCCTTCTATAAGCCCCCACATGGTTTGTACTTTACGTACTACATGCTTTCGATCATTTGGCTTCCCATTGTAAATGCATTTCTACCATCATGAAATCCATTCCTATCCACATGCAACAAAGCTGGATTTTTCAAAAATCATTCGAATCCAAATGTTTTCCAATAAAAAAATCCACACTTAATTTGTTAAACACTTTTAACATTCTTTCTCCAATAAACAATTTCAAAATATTCTAGATCATCACATGATTTTGAGTTTTCAATGAAAAATCATGTTTTGGATTCAAAACCATATATAATGAAACATAAAATGAGATGAGGAGCACGGAATGATACCTTTGACGCTCCTTTGCTAATTTCTCAAAAATGATTTATTTTTCTTCTTTTTCCTTTTTCCCCTCTTCTCTCTTTTTATCTTCCTTGGGTGTCTCTACCATCCCTTTTAACGTTTTCTTTTTCGATTACACATTCTGTTTTTCCCATACTAATTCCAATCTATGTGTGCAAATTTTTTTTTTTGATAAGTATTCATAAAAGAGTGCACAAATGGGGGACGCGGTCCTGGACAACAGCACGAACAAAAACCTATAGCCTCTATCCATACACAAAAGACAAGAATCTCTATAGATTTACAAGCTACATGGATGCGTTGTCCACTCAAGATTGCCAAACACCTCCCTAAACCATTTGCTTAGATCCTCCTTCAAAAGCTGAAGTTTGTTCACACGCACAAAACTCAGTCCCCACATATTCTCGAATCTAAACGGATTCTTACTCTTCCTCAAGTCCCCACAATCAAGCAACAACGGGATATGATCCGAGAATGGTCTAGTGAGAGCCTCTTGAACTGCATCTGGAGACCTCTCCTCCCAATCCCCCAAGAGCAAACCAATCCAAGTGGGATAAGGTGGAAGTCTCCCTACCCGCCGTATCCTGAAAGTGTCGGATGTGGCTCGAACACGTGTCGGATATGGCTAGACGTATCGTTAAAAGTGAATATTTTGTTTTTTGGTTGGACACGGTTGAGATACAGATTGGACATGGCACGGATATGGTCTGTACACTTCTAGGATATGGTGGGTGGTTTTGTATGTCTGCTGCCACAATACCGCAATCTTCACTTTCATCCCCCTTGGTCAGCACCTTCCAATGGAGAAGAGTTTTCTACAATTTGTCGTGGCCAATTTTATTGATTATTATTTTAAATTTTTTTATATCATAACCGTAGCAGTGTAGCACAACCCCTTGTCACGTCCCCCTTGAGCTCTCCAGGTGTGAACTTCTAAACACATTGATCACGGGAAGCTAAAGAGAGTTGAGGGACTTTTTTTTTTTGCTTTTAGTTCATCCATCCGATGTTGAGACTTGAAACTGGTACTCTAATAAGGATGTGCTAGTCTAAGAAGCGCAAACAGTTCTACGAAGATGTCGGGTCCTTGTCATGCAATTGTCAACACACACTACTGTACACATGTCTGATATTTCATGAATGAAGCCATAATTTTAAAACAACTTTCATTTATTTTGGACGCTTGGCTGGCACAGCCAACACAGGATGCTTCCCAATATTAACATACACATCTAGGAGTAGTTATGCCCAACAATCTTGGAAATGATATGAGAAAATTCATAGTGCCCGACCTTTTTATCTTTAAGAAAAATTGACATTATACACATAGTCACCACAAATGAAGCATGCTATGATAATTTTCAAGTACGACCAAAATACAATTCAAAGGCAAAGAAGGAGATTTGTAGCATGAATAATATATTAATCTGTAAGATGTTTGCAATTGCGTAGCTTCTTTTAAATTTTGCATCTGTTAATATAAAAATTAATCAAAGTTCCATGATAGTCTTATTTAATAGATTTATGTAAAAAAATTATACTTATAGATAGTCATGTTCACACCTTGTCTGAATCCGAGTCCTACATTTTAGATTCGATGTGATGGCGTATTGTTGTCGTATCGTATCCATGTCCGTGTAACTTAGGTGCCAGCCCAAAGGCAGCTAAATGTTTGACCAAGAGGTTTGGAAGCCAGTCCAAATATTTAGTTTAAGGCCATTGATAAAGCAACCCACCTTTTTCTGAAGGTGTTATCTCCCCTTTTATCTAAGCAACCTCTTCAAATTGATTTCGATACATGTGACACTGCTTGGCTCTCTGCCTATCAACGTCTTTCCACATGCACCCACACTTGCTAGAGTTCTCATGCAATACCAAGCGGAGACTAGGCGCCATTGTGGTCCCTGCCAAAGTGACTTTAATGCATTAGTCTTAACCCGAGAAAATTAAGAAGTAACTTGAATGAGAGTGAAAAGGATAGGGTGCAGTGTTTCATACCTCAGTGATGTATGTAATGTCCGAGATCTTTTTATATTACCACCTTAGGCACAAAATGGAACTTATCACTTGGGACGGTTCAAACAATATCAGTAAGCCGAGCTAGCTAGTTTAAGTTTGGTATGAGGTCACTAAACAAAATTTCACAGTGGGTGGGTCCATATCTAGCATGCATGCCTTCTATCACTTTATCTTTGTTAGTTCCGCCTATAATGATTGATGAATCAAAACTTTTCAATTGAACAATTGGTCTTTTTGCTTATCCTCTTATCTTGTAAAAATGGAGCATGTCCCAAGTAATATCGCCATTTTCTTCCTTAAAAAATGATACCCTAGTTGAGCTTCATATTTCAGGTGGAATATTTTGGAATTTAAAGAATCACTCAACACTTCTTTTTCACTTCCATCGAAATGGGGAAAATCTAACTTTGCAAGTAGCAACTAGTAAGTTAGTTGAGCCCACCTCATGTTACCATTAAGTCATCAGCCCCCTTTCAATTGGCAAGTTCTCACCTTGCTTATGGCACTCGCCCAAGACGGTCAAATGAAAATTCGTGGCTGAATAAAAGGGACTACCTAGTTCTGGTCCCGCCATGGCAGGGTCCTGAGGAGGGGGGACTCAAAGCTCATGTTTGAAAACATCTCTTATATATTTTTAAACACCCTCCTGGGTTTCTTTCAACACTGTCTCTTGTCTGGACCAAAGCTCAACTCCTTCAATGGCGAATGCGCCAGTATCCGAACCAAAATACTACGTTCAACTTGGACTGGGTGCCTACTACTCCCTCCAGCTTGACCACTTTTTTTCGCGTGGGCCTATCTTGACTACATCTGAGAGACCAAAGAATATTGGAGAAAGAAAGAGGAATGAGAAAATATTAGAAGGTTGTGTTTAAGAGAACTGGGAAGGGTGATGGATAAAAAATTGGTTTAATCTAAGGGAAACTTCGAGAGATTAAACAAGAATGAAATTCTCACTATTCTTAATTCATACAGAACTACAAATTTTACAGCACTCTTTACAATGGTAAAAAGATACTCATCCCTGTGGAATAACAGCTTGATAACGCTCCTACAAAAGTCGTGACATGTTAATACACTAATAAGAAACTAACTCCTACAAATAGCAACTAACACTCACTCCTATAGAGTAGCCATTTCTGAATAAGTACATGGAGGGTATGGTACAGTGTGTTACCATCCTAAACTTGCTCCACGAAGATAAATCAATTAATAAATCCGCCCTGCTTTGGGGTCGAGGAGGGTCCGAGGCCCCGCTATATATAAATTAAATATTTAACAATTTAATCATAAATTTTGTTAACTTCATGATTACGAATCCAAAATATCATGAAAGAACAAAAATAAATAAATAAATATACACTTAATATATATATATATATATATATATATATATATATATATATATATATATAAATTAAACACGAGGCGGGTTAAGTGTAAAATGTGTTTTGCCTCTCATTCTTAGCCCACTCGTAACACAATTAGATAAGAACCAAACCTTTTCCATTAGAAGCAGAGTAGGGCGGATTTTTACCAGGGTGGGCCAAATTGACATCCCTAATAACAACTTAATAACTTAGCCGCTCAAACTGATTGTCCAATTAAACACCAAAACCTGTATACAACCAATGTCGATATTAATGCTTGTGGCTTTGCATGAAAGTGCATGCAACATGACCAATGGAAGCTCATGACAGATTCCATCACAAATTAGATGGCTATTCTATTCTCTCTCTTCAGTTTGCCATTATAAATTTGAATAGTGACTTTATTGTGTTGATCTATTCTTTATTTGTATTTTTACAATGAAGTGGTTAATGGTCGATGTATAGATTATATAAAGTGGTGAAAAGTTATGAAGTTCGGTGGTAGATGTAGATTTATGGCCGCAAGTGTATGAAGTAATCTTTGTTTTATCTTTCATGTGTCTAGATTCTGTCTTCCATTTATAAACTAGAAGAACGGGAATCCTGTATATTTTGTAATTTGAGGTACTTGGCGATCAAAGCAGAGGATAAACGTACTGAAAAGACAATTCCCATCAATGCTATAACCTACTTACTCCAGAGCTCTGCCAGTAAAAAGCTCAGCGTTGGTTTCCCAAGGTAACGTCAGTTTCAGTTTGTTTTTATTTTTAGTCTTCAAACAAAATGCTAATATATAAAATCAGCTTCCTAGATTTAATGTCACAAACACATGTACATGCGTGTTTCTTGTTTGAAAACACCATAGCATTTTTAATTTTTTTCCTTTATGGTCTTTCGATTTTGTGAAATGTTTTGCAATCTTGTTGTCGGTGTGTTTTATTTGTCAGGCATCATCCCGAGTAAAAGTGGCGAGGAAGGGTGCTATAGGCGGCACGACATTTTGTCACCCAAGGATATCAAATATGATTTTGGGTTGATTAACTCTTTTTGAAGAACGGTGTGGTATAAGAGAAAATAAGTAAAGAAAGGCTGCTTCCTGGGTGTTAGTTTTTGGTACGAAATCATATTTTACCCAACAGTTACCGTGTTAATATCATAGATTGAAATAAGACCTGTATTTCTTGTAAAGCTAATATAGAAAAAATTCTCCTAAAAAAATATACACTTGTGTTTGTATTGGTTTAAATGGAACCTCTGTTTTGCAATGTCGTTGGGAAGGTCAAATTCCTTACATAGGGTTCGTATATAGTAAATTAGAAATCAGGACCATCTGATGATCCCTCTCTGGTTCCTTTTGTTGTCTCCTCTTGTTCTTTTCTTTTCATTATATATAGAGATGATTTCTTCTTAGATGGGTTTAGTTAGTATGTTTCTCTTCAGGTTATTAATTAGTCAGGTCGTTACTATTATTATGCTTTTTTACTCTCTAGGCTGGCTCAAGTATATTAATAAGATAGTTTTTAAGATTACCGTAAAAGTATTTTGTTTTTTTTTTTTTTCTTCAGCATTATATACATTGTGGATCATTATATACTCTTGAGAGTGATTGATTAGAAGTTCTTGAACATCTTCCTTGACAAGCATACTGCTACAACAATGGAGCTCCCTTGGAATATTTTTTTTTTCATTGGCTAGAAAAACACGCATTTCACTTACTTTACCTATTTGAGGATTCAAACCTTCACTATCTACTTTGGGAGGTAGAGAAGATATCACTGGGTCACAAGTACCCCTTAACGAGGTTCCTTGAACTATATGTCTCAAACATCAAACCACTGGGTCACAAGCCCCCTTAACGAGGATCCTTGAACTATATGTCTCAAACATCAAAACTTGATTCAGTACATGAAGCATCACTCGCTCCATCCATGAAAATTGTCTCTGCACATGCAATATGACAGGAAAAACTGTGCACTTCAAACCCACCGCCGGTGACTTTCAGTTGCTCGGTGAAGGCGTCTGATGGTCTATGTTAACCTTCAACCATTTCTTAGTTAAAGTCTCTTGTGCAAAAAAAAAAACAAATTCGGCGATAATGGACACCCCCGACTTCCTCTCGTGAAAGGAAAGAAAAGCTCCGACGGAACACCATTAACCACTACCATCAGTTGCTCGGAACACCATTAAGCCCTCTGTATCAAGTTCTGTTACCATAAATACTCATTAGATTTTCCACCAACATTTTTTTTAAGTATATCGTGACTGACTTCACGCAAAATTTTGAATCGTGTGGTCCAATACAAAAAAAATCTTTAACTAAGAAATGCAGTGGCGTAGTCAGAAATTTAGTTCAGTGGGGGCAACCATTGACAATAATATGATAAGGAATTTTGAACCAAAATAATAAATAGCAACAAAGGGATTTCTTAATTTTGATTCTTAAAATTTTGCGGACCACGAGAGTTTCTAAATTTTGAAACTTTTGTTAGGTAAATGAGTAAGAAAACGAGTGGTCTTTCTGAATTTTGAAAGTTCTTCTTACGGTTTTTTGTGAATCTTTTAGGAGCTTAACTGGGCAACTTTTGTAATTATTTAGATTTGTGTATAGAAAATACAAATACTAGAAATCCAATAACAAAGGAGTTTTTTTTTTTTGTCTTTCTAAATTTGGATTCTTAAACATGCTTTTTTTTTTTGCTTCTGAATTGTGAAAATCTTGTTGGACAAGTGAGTTAAAAAAAAAAAATGAGGGATCACTTTGACTTTTGCAAGTATTTTAAGGCCTTTTATGAATATTTTAAAAGTTCAGTAGAGGCACTTTTAAAATTATCAAAATTTATGTATAAAAATACAAATAAAATGAAATCCAGTGGGGCCAATTGCTCCCATCCGTTCTAACTAGCTCCGCCACTCAAAAAATTTAAAAATTATAATAAGATATTACAAAAAAAACTTGAACATAAATTTTAATTCAACTGACCATGAAATAATTTATAATTCAGAATCATCTACTAAATAAGTCCGTTGATTCAAGAACAATAACAATTTAATGCAATGATCATCGTAGTACTTGTATATACATTACCTATAATAAGTAACTCATGGAGTAACATTGAACCAATTTGTATTTGTGATCGTTGCAAAACATTTCAAAATACATTTATATTTAACATAAAGATAAAGAATGACTATTGCAAAAAAAAAGCCTGATTAATATTACTTATTACAAAAGAATAATACCTTTTGGGATGTAGATAAGAATTGAAAATGATGTAATCTTTGTATTACTAATTACGAAATAATTCATTCCAATGTAAAAAAAATAAAGGAGTGTTAGTGGGCCATCATACACTTAAATTTACGTAAAATTTACCTTTAATTATTGAAATTGCTTATTTCTAAAACAATATAAAAATAATAATTTTTTAAAAAAGTGAAGAGAATTTAATACTTCATTAATTGTACATAAATGCATGAATTATGTGCTTGTTAAATTTATTTTAAAAAATTGAATTTATATAACGTGTTAAATTTTTATAGTGTTACTATTTTTGGTGGAAATTAAAATTATGTGCTTTATTATTATTATTATTATTGTAAATTGATACTAATTACAAATTAGAGGTAAAAAGTATAGTTAATATTTTTATTAAAAAAATGACATTAAAGGCATTTATAAGAAAGGGCAATATTGGTAAAAAAAATATTGTTGATAAAATTCTGAACTCAGATTAAAATATTTATTAAAAGTAGGATTTTATATAAGGACTTTGTTGTCACTAAACTAAAAAAGTTAGACTAAATAATAGGAATTTTTTTTTTCTAATAATAAAAAACATCAATTATATATTTTTTTAAAAATGATTATATATTTAAAATATGAGATATACAAAAATGATCTTTCATACCTCAGGTGAGATTTAATAAAGTACTACAATTATAAAATAAAGTTAACGAAAGACTAGCTTGATGTAGAAAGATACATGATGTACACAGGTTAACCTAAAGTAGAGAATCATCCACTATGTACAGGTACTGATATTGACGGTGCTAGTCAACTCCAAAATATAACCTAAATCAACTCTCAACTCTCAACAAAGTTTCATTTATGTGCACAACTACACAAAGGTAAAAGACCAAGTCTCAATACTATTTTGTGGGTTAAATTGAGTTAAGTAATTTTAATATAGGGAGAGGCCTCGACCCCGATTATGGACCCATTAAAGGCCCAAAACTTTTATGATCAGAAATGTTGACTATTAGGCCACGATATGGGCTGACGATGCAGCCTCAATCTCACACTTAAATCATACAGTAGCTCATGACTCGTTAACCTAACTCACAACATGGAGTAGGCTTTTTCTGAATCACTCTCCCTAGGGTTTTGAACTTGTGGAAGCGGCTAACATTCAAATCGCTCAACCCCTATGGCTTTCAGATCCTGTAAGTCTGTATCACCCAGGTTTCATTTCATATACGACACTCTCATACATCACAGAATCAGTCACAATACACACACAATTGTTCGTTTTCTTGAAACCCAGTCAATAGCAAACAACTCAAATTTCACAGAAAAATCCTCTCTAACGATCTCTTACCTCACAAAGTCATGTGGGTTGTCTCTAAAATCTGCTATATCAGCTTCTAAGAAGGTCAGCATTAAGAGCACAGAGAAACCGGACTCAGTTCTGGAGCTACTAAGGTCGCATGGCTTCACTGAAAATCACATTTCAGTCCTTATCTCCAGGTACCCAACTTTAATTTTGGCTGATCCAGAGAGAACTTTGAGACCCAAAATTGAGTATTTTGAATCTATGGGTCTTGTTGGACCTGACTTGGCTAAGATTCTTTGCTCATGCTCCATGTTAACGAACAGTTTAGAAAACCAAATCAAACCCTCATTTAATTTCCTTAAACGATACTTAAAGACTAATGAGAATTTAATTTATGCTGTTAAGCAATATAGCCGTGTGGTACAGTGCAACGCTGAAAAAGTTATGTTGCCAAATATCCACACCTTGCAGGCTCATGGCGTGCCTGATTCCCATATTGGAAAACTAATCGCGCTGAGGCCTAACGCGGTAATGTTGAGAAGTGATGTGTTTAAAGAGGTTACTGATGCACTTAAGGAAATGGGTTTTGATCCCACAAGGGTATCATACTTATTGGCTTTTCGATCGAGATTTAGCAAACTTAATTGGGAAAAGAAAAAGGAAGTTTTTATGAGCTTTGGTTGGTCTGAAAGTGAATTTAATTCGGCATTCAAATTGGGACCGCTGTGTATGCTTTCCTCAGAGAAGAAGATCAGGGAACTGATGGATTTCTTCGTGAACAAGGCGGGGTTAAGAGCATCACAGATCGCTAAATGCCCAAATCTTTTTGTAAGTAGTTTGGAAAAGAGAATCATTCCAAGATGTTCAGTTCTGCAAGTTCTGATGTCAAAAGGTTTGATTGGGAAGGATGTAGGTGTGGTTTGGGCGTTAGATTGTACCAAAAAGAAATTCGAATCCAGGTTTCTGACCAAGTATAAGGAGGTAACTCCAGAGGTAATCAAAGCGTACGAGGGTGAGATAGGATTTCAAGGATTCAATACTAGATAGTAGGACAATGTGGAATCAGAGAAGTGAGCAACTGCTAGATATTCCGGCAACAGCAGAGGACTAACAATATGGCTGCATACAAGGTCTGCCATATAAGAAGGCATCCTCTAATCACTTAAGTGAGATTTTTTGGTGGCTGATAAAGTGTAAGAAGAGGTAAGATCACCTTGTATATTCTGAAGATCATATTAGCTTTCTCTATCGAATTTCTCACATCTATAAATATTTCATAATTATGTTTCTCATCCGTAATGTTATAACATGTGCTCAAATTTTGTTAGATTTTGACAACTGGCAGATTTGCTTCATAGTTCCATTTGGGTGGCTGTATCTTCTAGTTATTAGTTCTTTTCTATATCTGCAGAATACTCATGTGGTGATTGTGATGTTTGGTGTGTTATATATTATTTACACTGGCTTGGTGGATTCCCTTGTTTAACCAGTAAGAGGACTTATTACTTGTGAAAGGCTTGTGGTCATTTCCATGTGTGTTTGATTTCATTATGGCTAATTAGTCCTATGTGTCCTAAGCTGTCTACTCATTCATATACTGTGTAAATCCTTTATCTCTAGATTTAACTTTCCATGATTTCATTACGGCTACGGAGTCCTACCTGTCCCAACCTGTCTATTTTTTCATATATTATGTAACACCTTTTTCTTTGGATTTAAGTTTCACGTATGAGAGATCTATTAATATGCAATTCTGTAATTGAAGAAGAGCTTAGGGCTCACATTTTCTGATTAGTGTATTTTGAAGTTATATGCAACATGCTATGGACCGGAAATAGCTTAATTGCGTATGGGATATTTGAATTGAGAAGTGGAAGAATGTTTTTCTATGGTGTTTCCAAATCCTGCAGCTGGTGATTTATATCATTATACTACCTTTATGTACTTCCCCTAATAATTTATGCGCACTCACGTTAATGGTGGTATAGGGAAAGTTGAAGCGGCTGGTAATATCTGAACTTAGACAGTTGTTGGGTGGTGAGGGAGAGCTGACATTTGTGAAGTATGGACTGTATGGGTATCATTAGTACTTAATATATCTTCCAAGGTATTTGCTATGTTGTTTGCTACATCTAATTGGGCTGTTTGGAGAGAGAGAAATCTCAGAATGGACCAAGACTGTAGGGGAGAGGCTGAGGAGGTTGCTGGGACTCTGGTTTTTGAGATTGTTGTTGCTAGTGCGGATTCTGGTCACACCCCATTAACGCAATGGCCATGGTATAATTCTGGGCTCTTTTTCTTACTTGATCACGTGACTTCAATTAATTGTGGGTTAATTGCACTTAATATTTGATTATATAGATGGGGGCTTTGCAGGTGGACTCATATCCTCTATCTTTCGTTCAGATTTGACGCTTTTTGTTCAATTGGTTGACTTGATGAACTGTTACCTCTTATTGGAATTTAAATTTTTATATAGTAGCAAGTGAAAGGCCTTTATTGGAATCAAAAGGCAGATAATCTATTTTCAAGAGTGGTAGGATAGGGCCGACAGGCTTTGAATATCGCGGTATGCTTTGGTAGCAATGGGCTATGTTTGCCTGCCATTGGAATCTTCTTTGTATGGATGCCTATGTAGATTTTAAATTTCATTGTATCATGAAGCTTCATAATTAGATTTAATTATGATCAGCTACAAATTCCTTTTTTGAGGAATTTTATATAATTTGATATGTTCTTTTGTCTCAAAACATGTGAAAATTTCCAAATACATATCTGGCTAGATTTAGGTGGTACTGTAAATTTGAATGATGGCCCTCTTGACATGGATTTTGTAATAAATTTTGTTATTTTCTTTGAGGTTGTTCCATCTTCATAGGTAATAAATTCCAAACATTTTTGGTCTCCATTTCCATTCTAATCACTACAAAATTACATAGTGCAATGTTGAACATATATCTTTTCGCTTACCAACCCTGTGGCTATTATAGAAAAAATATCCAACTATATCCGAATGGAGTTTAGTCTCTGTGCAGTTGATTATAGGTTGAATCTGACATGAGTTATCTTAATGCTATTTAGTGGTAAATATAATGCATGATTGATTTAATCACAAGATGTTTTCTGATTTAATTACGGGTAAAAATTGTAGAAACCCAAGATGTTTTCTGATTAAATCAATATATGTGATTAATTTAGATTTAATCACAATATGTAGTGATTGATTTAATCACAGTAGTAACAATATATACTTTGTTACTAAAATCAAAATGGGTCTTAAGATGTGTATGGACGGCTCTAATATCACATGTAAACTAAATTAGGATATCATGCACATACATAAGACACACCGACTAAATGCAATTAGGCAAATACCTACGGAAACTTAGGAACTGAATAAATTCAATCAACTATTTTGCTCTTCATTTCACGTCTGCTTTGATTTGTTTTCGCTCTTCACATCGGCTTTGATCTGCAACCTCAATGAAATAAACAATAGAATATTGCTTTGATATTCCACCCTCTCCACTTTTGCCATATTGCTTTGATCTTCCACCGTCTCCACTTTTGCCCAGACGTCTATTCAATGGGGCTAGACTAAACCGAATTAAGTGTGTATGTGAGAGTGGGGACCAAGGCTGTATATAGATATTATTTGATAATGTTCCTCTCATCAAGGAGTCTATCAGATTACCCCTATTATAATCCCATCATTATACGGACTTTATATCCATATCTCAAAACACGTGATCACATGTGACTAAGGTACATCATAACCCAAAACCTTATAAATATCACATTTTTATAGGGTATTTGGTAACTCATTATTTGGTATCAATCCTCAATCCAAATTTTATTTAAATATCAAGATAAAATAATAATTAATGGAAGCCCAAAATTCTTAAAGTGTATAGAGAAAGATTGCTAAACACCCAAATCTTTTTCTAACTAGTTTGGAAAGGAGACTCATTCCAAGATGTTCGGTTCTGCAAGTTCTGATGTCAAAGGGTTTGATTGGGAAGGATGTAAATATGGTTCGGGTGTTAGATTGTACCAAAAAGAAATTCGAGACGAGGTTTCTGACCAAGTATAAGGAGGTAGCTCCAGAGGTAATCAAAGCGTACGAGGGTGGGATAGGATTTCAAGGATTCAATACTAGATAGTAGGACAATGTGGAATCAGAGAAGCAAGCAACTGTTAGATTTTCTGGCAACAGCAGGGGACTAACAATATGGTGTATGTGAGTTTCTTTCGAAATGATTTGGCTGCATACAAGGTCTGCCATCTAAGAAGGGATACTCTAATCACTTCAGTGAGATTTTTTGGTGGCTGATAAAGTGTAAGAAGAGGTAACATCACCTTGTATATTCTGAAGATCACGTTAGCTTTCTCTGTCGACTTTGTCACATCTTGAAATATTTCATGATTACATTTCTCATCTGTCATAAGCTCAAATTTTTTTATATTTTGACAACTGGCAGATTTGCTTCATGGTTCCATTTGAATGGCTGTATCTTTCAGTTGTTAGTTCTTTTCTATATCTGCAGAATACTCATGCGGTGACTGTGATGTTTGGTGTGTGTATTGATATAGTATTTACACTGGCTTGGTGGATTGCCTTGTTTTACTAGTAAGAGGACTTATTATTTATGAAGGGCTGGTGGTCATTTCCATGTGTGTTTGATTTCATTATGGCTAATTAGTCCTATGTGTCCTAACCTGTCTATTCGTTCATATACTATGTAAATCCTTTATATCTAGATTTTACTTTCCATGACTTCATTATGGCCACATAGTCCTACCTGTCCCAACCTGTCTTTCTTTCATATATTATGTAACACCTTTTTCTTTGGATTTAACTTTCACGTATGAGAGATCTATTAATATGCAATTCTTCAATAGAAGAAGAGCTTAGGGCTCACATTTTCTGATTAATGTATTTGAAGTTATATGCAGCACCAGAAATAGCTTAATTGTGTATGGGATATTTGAATTGAGAAGTGGAAGTATGCTTATTTTCTATGTTGTTTCCAAATCATGCACCCAGTGATTTATATCATTATACTACCTTTATTGGGGGAAGTTGAAAGAGAACTGTGTCTTGAATCATTCATTTTCCTCTCTTTTTCATTCCATCATATTGCTCTCACTTTTACGTTGTCAGTATGTACTTCCCCTAATAATTTATGCACACTCGCGTTAATGGTGGTATATGGATAGTTGAAGCGGCTAGTAATGTCTGACCTTAGACAGTTGTTAGGTGGTGGGGGAGAGAGCTGACATTTGTGAAGTATGGGTATCATTAGTACTTAATATATCTTCTAAGGTATTTGCTATGTTGTTTGCTACATCTAATTGGGCTGTTTGGAGAGAAAGAAATCTCAGAATGGACCAGGACTGTAGGGGTGAGGAGGTTGGTAGGACTCTGGTTTTCGAGATTGTTATTGCTATTGCGGATTCCGGTCACACCCCATGAACGCAATGGCCATGGTATAATTCTGCACTCTTTTTCTTTCTTGATCATGTGACTTCAATTAATTGTGGGTTAATTGCACTTAATATTGATTATATAGACGGGTCTTGCAGGTTGACTCATATCTCCTATCTATGGTTCAGATCTGAGTCTTACTTGAACTGTTACCTCTTATTGGAATTTAAAATTTATGTAGTAGCAAGTGAAAGGCCATTATTGCAATCAAAAGGCAATTAAATCTATTTTCAAGAGTGGGATAGGCTTTGAATATGTGCTTGTATGCTTTTGGTAGCATGGGTTACGTTTGCTGGCCATTGGAATCTTCTTTTCTTTGTATGTATGCCACTTTTAGATTTAAATATGATCAGCTACAAATCCCTTTTATGAGGAATTTTATGTAATTTGTTTTGTTCTTTTGTCTCAAAAACATGTGAAAAATTCCAATTACATATCTGGATAGATTTAGGTGGTACCATAAATTTGAATGATGGACACCTTCTTGACATGGATTTTGTAATAAATTTCGTTATTTTCTTCATGGTTGTTCTATCTTCACAGGTAAAAATTTCCAAACAATTTTGGTCTCCATTTCCATTCTAATCACTTCAAAATTACATAGTGCAATGTTGTTGAACCTACATTTTTTTTTACCTTACGGCTGTCATAGAGAAAATATCCAACTATATCCCAACAGAGTTTAGCCTCAGTGGGGTTGATTATAGTTTGAATCTGACATGAGCTATCTTAATGCTATTTAGTGATAAAGTTAATGCACGGAGCTTACTTGCATTTTATTTTTTTTAGAATTTCTTTATTTTCAGGTGCGCACATAGGAATGTCCATGCCGGTGTTAGGAATAGTCTTCGATTTCTTTTTTAGATACTTTCATCACAGTTATATTGATGCTGGTGTTTTATAATGGATACGGGTTATCAGGTTTTAGGTTTGTGTATTTCTCGGAGGACTTCAGGGTTTTCAGAATTTATTTAGGTTGTGTTTGGCTCCATAGAATTGAAGCATTGAATCAGAATTGGTAGAATTGTAGAAAATTTTGGTTCAATTTTTTGAGTAGTTTTTCTTTAATTCTACCAATTTTAATTCCAAAGCTCTAATTCCAAGTCTGCCAAACATAGCCTTACTCTATAGGAGTGGATTCTGAGTTGATACTATGATGGCATACATGGGACACACTTACTAATGCACTTCTTGTTTTAAATAGGGTTGAATATATGGTTGTAACACCGTTTTGCATATTTAGGCATGTATTTGCATTTGTTAAATATACAGTCAAATTTGTGGGTATTACATCTTTTAACTGATTTCATGGTTAAATATAGTCAATTTTTTTTTTTTTTTGAATTGTGTTTAATATACATTTGGAATATATATATATATACACACTGTAACACACCCATGCCATCTTCAAATATTTCATTCCAACAGACCTCCATGTTCATGTAGAGGAGAGTGGTTGCCCTTAATATACCATCTCTGTTTCCATCCTTATCTATTCTATGCCACATAGCCTCACAACCAATGCATGAACCTGCCACTCTCTCTCTCTCTTCAATTCTAATTTTTCATTTTGGTTCAAATAATAATTATGATAAATTGAAATTTTTTGTCACTCAACCAAAAATAAATAAAAACCTATTGAATATCAAAATCATGTGTGGTTTCAGTTTAAGCTTCAGCTATAGGCTAGCTTTATCTACACACATCCAACATGGACCAAGCACCACCACGATGGTGTCTCCTCCCCTGCCACATCTCCTCCCTCCATGTGTTTTTTTTATAAATTTCTTTATCTATGAATAGTTATGTTATTTTATAGAGTGGTGCTACACGACCCGGCCACTATTTACCCGAAAAAAACCGACTACGTAGGTGGCTGTCCAACGTGGCAATTTTCCTACTTGTTTTTTTTTTTTGAAACGGATGTCCCTTCTCTCTCTCTCCTCTCTCTCTCTAACAATCGGCGACGAACCCATCTTTTCGGCTAAAATTCCGCGACCACCGGTGAACCCATCCTCTCTCTCTGCAAACTACAAAATTTGTAAGAATCAAACTCACATCTTTCATTCTCCCTCGTCTGTTGTTCACTAGCTCCAGTCGCCATCCACAGCCGATTAAGCTTGCCCATTTCCAGCTGCTCCTCGCCGGTGCAGCGAACCGTCCGAACCATCCAGTTGGGCACTGCCGCCGCAAGCATACAGCGCTGCAAGTCCAAGACCCACATCTGTTTCGCCGGCTCTCCATGACCGAATCGGACCCAGCCATCTCCCTCTTCGCTGGCGCCGCCATCAACATCCTCACAGTAAGCTTCTACCGTTGTCCAAAGCCCACACTCACTGCCATCACGCCGCCGCGAATCGCAATTGGTGCAGCACCACAGCCCATCTCTTGTTCGCCGCCGCCGCCTCCATCACGACAAGATCGACATCTCCGGATCTTCATCGCCGACCGAACTATTCTGTGAAACCAGAAGGATCATCTCACTTCATCGCCGACGGGATAATCTCACTTCATCGCGGCATCGCCATCATCTCACTTCGTCGCCGGAATTGTGTTGGTCTCCTTTGGTTTGGGTAGCAAAGGCAGAACTGGGTCTACCGTGGTGGAGGTGAGTTTGGTCCGCGGCCATGACGGTTTGATGGTTTCGATACAATCAAGGTTGGCGAGTCTAAGTATGGAGAAGAAAGCAGATCAGCGACGGAGACGCCGACGATGGAGAAGACAAGCACCGACCGGAGGCTTATGGTTGCCGACAGTAAAATCCCGGCGATGATGAACTTGGAAGAAATGGGTCTTCACAAGAAAGCAAAAAAAAAACTTGTGATTAACTGAGAGAGAAGGGAGGGAGAAGGGAACGTCCGAGATTGATGAAGGATTCTCCACTGGAGAGAGAAGGGAGAAAGAGGATCGAAAGAGAGATGAGAGAAAGTAAAGTTGCGTCAAGAAAGAGAAAAATCGTCTGCCCAGTTGTACCAATCTGCATTTGACAAGTGTGTGTCGGCTAATGTTGGATGAACAGTAATCGGGTCTTTTAGCATTTCTCTATTTTATATAATCCTTTAACCCGAGTAAGTAATTTTTTAACCAAAAGAATGGCACTAAGGCCTCGTTAGGATTGGTTTTTCAAATTTTGCTTTTGACTTTTTAAGTCTGGAATTCGTTTTGAGTAGTATTTGGCTAAATTTTTTTAAAAAAACTTCTAAGTTTTGGAAAATCGTTTTTGAGAAGCTGGTATCCTTGCTTCTCCAAAATGCTCTATTAGTATAACTTATTTAAACTCCATATTACAGGACTGCCGTTGTATATAAATACATAAAGAAGTTTTATTGGTGGTTTGGCATTTGGTAATTTGTCCCGGTTTGGTGGGTTCCTGCTGCTCCCCTAATGGTACCAGTATAGTGAAGAAATATTAATAAATAGATGGAAGGGACACAAAGGAATGGATGAGGCATCCCTAACGACGACGGCAAGGTGCATCTCTCACTTTTTATTTGGTTGAATTGAATTAGTAATAGAAATATATATATTTTTTGTTTGGCTGGAAGAAGGAAAATAAGGTTTTATATTTTTTTACTAATATGCCCTCATTATTTAAAA